AAAGGGAGTACAGAATTAAGTATAAAATGCAGAAAGAAAATTGTTCTGAGGTAATGAAAAAGAAAAAGAAAAACCGGAATGAAAACTCTGAAGCTGAAGTGCACTAGTCTTCCACTAATGGTTCTGTCATATCCTTGGATTTCTCACTGGCTGAGCAGGAATTGCTCCAGATTTTTGCTGAACCAACTCACTCACAGCAGTAGCTAGCTGACCAATCTGTGTCTTCAAATCTTGAATGGTAGCTTCTACGGATGTCTCTTTTCACTTGGTGCTGTGGTGCAAAAGTTTGTGGTCTGAACTGTTGAAAATGACCAGGATTAAGATTCTTTTTACACAATGCTGAAGTATCATGTATCCCCGAGGCCTTCTGCAAGAATATTGCTAACAGAATCTAGTGAGGCAGAATCGTCAAACAACATTGCTTGAGTCATTCCTTTTCTAACATCAGATCCAATCAATAGATTATGAGTGGTTGCATCAGGAACCCAACCTTTTTCTAACATTGAGTCTAGTAATCGACGGGCCTCGTGTTCCCTACCCTCTTTCAACAGGCCAGTTATCAGTAAGCCATACATTGCTGAATTCAAAATGTCCCCACATGAAATTCTATCAATTGCACTAGAAATCATAGATAACTGAGAATGATTGGCCATGAATAACAGTTGATCAAATAGTTGGTCTGGATCAGGTATTAGACCTTCATTGATCATTGTATTGAAAAATAAAACACATTCCTTTATTTTGTTTTGTCTACTCATACTTTGAATAAGAATACAATATGCTTCCAGGTCAAGATTACTGCCCACCATCAACATTTGTGAGAGGAATGCTAACAAATCTTCTGCCCTCCTTGATCTTAACAACAACTGCATGATAGCAGTGTGTGTGGCAATACAGCAAGAAATAGCACAAAAACAAGCTAATTGCCATAGTCTTATGGCTTCTTTGACCTGTCCAGAGTCACAGACACATTTTATCAATTTGTAGAAGGCCAAGGAGTGAAGAGAGCATCTCTTCATTGACATATAGTGAAACACTTCCATGGCATCTTCAGAATGTTTGATGTCACAGAGACCACCAACTAGTTCAGAATATGAGGCAAAATCTAAAATCCAGCATCTGGCGCAAATTTATGAAATAGTGTTCATTGGCTTCTTCATACTTGCCCAATCTACAGTTGCCAATTACAAGAGCAGAATATGTTGCACAGTCAAGAATAACAAATGATTTGATCATCCTGCCAAGAAGTATATGTGCCTTCTTGATGTCTTCATTCTCACAAAACCATCTAATGAGAATGTTCCAAGATTCACAATCCGCAATGTGTCTCTCAGACATTGTCTCCAGCAGAACATTTGCTGCCAGAATTTCACCAGCATTACAGCAACCTTCAAGCAATGTATTGAAAGGAGCAGTTTCATGAACTTGTCTATTTTCTAAAAACACTATAGCCTCCTTAATTTTCCCTAATTCACAGAAGCAATTCATTATATCAACAAGAACATAATGCTTTGGTGGCATACCACTTTCTATCATCTCATTTATAAGGGCAACAGCAGAATCCAACTGCAAGTTGTTGCAAAAACACCTTACTAGAACCTCATAAATGAAAGAATCTGGCTCAAGATCAGAATCTTTCATCATTCTAAACAACTTCACAGCCTCATCTATTTTATTTTCTCTGCAAAACAGAGGTATTATGCACGTATGAAAACTCAAATCTGGTTGACATTGAACTTTGAACATTTGTTCTAAAATAATAGCAGCTTCATCCACTCGACCATTTTGAATGAGAGCCTTCACAAGAATCTCAAACGTCTTCGTATTTGGATTGCACCCTTTATTTTTCATTCTCCTAAATTGATCCAAACCTAAGTCAATCTGATTGGTGGCAAACAATGCCTTCATCAAACAATTCAAAGTTTCAACTGTGGGTAACACACATGCCTTCATCATCTCTTTATAAACAAACAACGCCTTTTGAAATTCTCTACCCTTTCCTCCCACAAGAGCACCCAATAAAGCATTAAAAGCTTCAATGGGCAGTCTATACCCACCCAAATTCATGTTCACTAAGACTGTAATAGCTTCTTCAATCCTACAATGCTCCACAAATGAGTGAACCAATCTCACAAAGGCTTCTTCAGTACCAGGGCACCTATCCTTGGCCATTTTTTCACAAAAATCCCTCATCTCCACAACTTTCCCAGCCATACCCAGTTTCAAAACTATCCTATAATATGTGTTCGAAGTGTGATGAAAACTCTTTTGCCTTGAAGCCCAATTGAAAATCCTAACCGCTGAGTTCAAATCATGTGTACGGTCCAAGATCCGGATTAAGTTGTCAGGGGCAAGCTTATTTCTCAAAAAGTTGAGATTTCGTTCAAATTCAGATGAATCCTTGAGTTTAACAATCTCAGGGGTTTCTGAAATATCTGCAATACTAGAAGAGAAATAAACCCATCTGAAGAATCGAGTAGGATATGTCAAAGATGGAAGCTTTATTGCCATGGAACAAAGTCAAAGAATAATTGAAGAGATGGGAAAAATTGAAACCCTGACCTGAGAAGGATATTTGTCGTCAGTCATGTATGGAATAAAATTTCAGAAGGAGGGAGTTCAGTAGGTTCTCAAGGAAACAGGAACACAGCAAATTTTGTGATTGTAAAAGTTTTATTTTCAAAATATGTCTGTGATGATTTAGGTCTTCCTAGCTGATTACGCTTAAATTTTGGAGTTTTTCTAAAATATTTGAATGAATATATGTAAGCTTTTTATACCAACATGATCTGAATTAAAAAAAAAAAACAGAAATAAGTTAGGTTAATAACTTTTTGTTAAACTTTTTTCGAGTTTTCAATTTATTTCTTTGATATAAATTTAACCAATCTTAGTTTCTAAAAGATTTTCATTCATGTTTTATTAAAGAAAATAGAGAGAAAAAAAAATAGATGCAAAATAAGTAAAAATAAAATGAAAAAATTAGTATAATATTTTTCATTCATGTGTTTACACTTGTAACCAATAGAAATGGTTGTTTCACACAAGTATTAAATAGTTTCTTGTCATTTGCATCTGTCATCAAATGTTTACTAAATTGTTGAGTTTGCTCAAAACAAATATGCTAAATGGCTTCTTCTTTTTTCCATACCAAACCGGTTTTTTTACTTAGTTGTTTTGTTTTAGAAAGTAATTTATCAAATTTTATTGGGTAATTATGTTTAAAAATATACAAGCAAAATACAAGAAATAAATGTTTAAATTAGTCCCTGAAAAGATGGAACAGTGTGTGATAGGTGTGATAAAAATTTTATATGAATTCTTGAATGATTCATTTTTATTATATATGTTATTTCGTTAATAAGACTTTTAATAAAGTATAAAATACACAAAAAGAAATATAACGAGTAAATATCTAAGCTGGTATTTATGGGTGCTGTAGTGAAGGATGGAGATTTTCTAAAATTTTCATGCAAATGAGTTTTTGAATCATTCATCTTCTTACTTTAGGCCAATATAGTGAGAGTACTTCATCTTAATTTTAATTGGCTCTTTGTGCTTTTCATGATGCTATGTATTAAAGAGTTAAAAAAGTTAATTGCGTAACCAATAGTTCCTTTCATTCTCAAATTTTCCAAATTTTCCTTTATTTTTCTTTGAAAATTTTTAATTCGGATCTTTCTAATTTTTTTTAGACATTTTCAATATATTTATTCTTAATTGATGTGATTAATTTTTTTTTTACTTAATCTCCTAAAGATTTTTTTTTCTGTAAATAATGAAACTTGTGTTCATTGTTTTTCAAATTGTAAGATAGTTTGTTTATACATGGTATAACATTTAAAACAATGGTCTTTTTCTTTTATTATTTTACATAACATTCTTTCATTTAAAAAGTATAGGTATTTTTTATTTATTATGTAAAAAGAAAAAAAAAACTATTCTTGTGTGTAAGAGTCTAAAAGATTGTAATTTAGAATTTATAATGTAATTAATATTGTGATTAAAATAATATGATTGAATTATTTTAGTATTAAAAATTTTAAATATAAATAAACTTTTTATAAACTAGTTTTATTATTTAAACATATTCTTTCTAAAAAAATTTCTTATATTTCTTTTTTTCTCTTTATGTTTTCTTACATTTTATTCATATATTTGAATATCAGAAATTGTTCGAATAATTCTTATTCTGTTGGATTAATTTCTTTAATAAAGTATGTTGGTTTTTTGTCCATTTTCTTGGTATGTATGTTCTTCCTCTCCATGTGAATAATCTTGGTTTGCATATAATATTTGACTCTTCTATATAAGTATTTATAAGTATTTGTTGCTCAGTTGTTATAATAGTGTGCTTTGATAATTTTTGTGTTGTTACTATGTATAAATAGGACATCATGTTAGCTTGAAGCGATTTCAGATTCCTTAGAACAATTTCATCTGTCTTTCAAGTGAGGGAAGTTAATTGCATAATTTTTATGTGATTGATACTTGTAACGGTTAATTGTATGCTTTCAGGTAAGAGAAGCTAATTACATAATTTTTATGTTATTGATATCTTGTAAATGCTAATTGTCTGCTTATACGGTATTGAATTGAAATTAGGATTTTGAATTGGTTTACCTGAATTGTATGATAAATTGAGAATGATGCTTGATTGGTATTGCAGATAATATTGTTTGAATTAATGAGGATAGTGTAATTTGGAATTTGGTATGTTTTAACATTTGTGATAGTTGTTGAATTATTGGAAGGGTTGGCCAAATATGTGGTGAGAGGTGCAAGAGGTCGTACTCTAGAGTCTTTACCTTGGTCAAAGATATCAACAGATTAACATTTTGTGATAAGTAAAGGTTAGCAGAAGTGCATACTCACTAGAGTTAGATATTAATACATGTATCCATTGAATCTAATATGAGCCTTTATATGTGATATGATTGTTATTATTTATGAAGAATGAGTTATATGTGATAATGTCTTATGTTTGTTTTATGAATACTCATTTTGCACATTAGTTTATTTTTTCTTTTATGTTGTTCTTTCTTTTGTGTTGTTATTGTCTATATGTGTTATTTTTGTCTCTGTGTTTCTTTTCTTTGCGATGATTATCATAAATGGTGTGAGTATAAGATGAGGCAACGGTTTATCATGTGCATGATGGAGGTGATGCAACAATATAATTACTAAGTGAATCTAGTGGTGTATAGTCTTTCTTGAATAACTTTATGATTCTCTTTGTTTTGATGTAGTATCTTTTAATTATATCAAAGCGGGATATATATTTTTAGTATTATAGTTGTATTTTGGATAACTGAAATAACATTAAATATTTTGAATTATTTGTTTATAAATATTGAATATGCAATATTTCTTTTAATAATTATGTTATTAAATGCGATGTTACACTGTTTTATATGATTTTTTTTTCTTATGTTCATCTCGAAATATTGATCTTAAAAAAAAATAAAGAAGACAATAGAATATGTGAATTTTAAGATTTGTTTTCCGGTTGTGAACTAATTATCTCTTTGAACCTTGATAGACTTTGTTTCCAAAACTAGATTACTCATTTTATCATTGGTGTGAGATTCTTGATTAAACCGAATCTTACCAAAACTTGTAAACATATAATTATAAAATTATTAATTTGCATGGTCACAAAATAAGACTCGTTCATGAACTTGTATTTGATGTTTGGTGAACAAATAGATTAAGTTGGAATTAGGTTATGTGGTTTCGTATTTATTTGAATAAATTGAGTCGATTTTTCTTTTGTAAGAAGTTGAAGCTTAGCAAACCTGCACTCAAATTTTGTCTCGTCCCAAAGAAGTTTTACACTTATAATACAAGGATTTTGGAAAAATTGTAGTTTTAGTCTTTTAAGTTAAAAATAATATTAATCATCGTATTTAAGAAAACGATTTTAGTTTATAAATATTAATTTTTGATAATTAGTTAACAGCAAACAACAGATCATTATTGTATAATTATAAAATTATGAAGAATTATTTTATAACTTTAAAATTATAAATTTAAAAATTTATAAAATTACATAACGACAACTATTCAAAGTCAGTAAATAAGAAAAATATAATTTTGTTAAGTCAGTACATGAAAAAAAAAAAAAGAACTTTATTAGGGCATCAAACATTCACTCAAGTGCTACGTGAAAATATTGGAACACAAACAAAATATTTGTATTGGAATAGAACAAACTTAATGGGATTTTGATGCTAATATCAGGACTAACTTAAAAGAAAAAAAGTTTATAATAATTAGGCTTCATCAACGATATGGTATACTGTGTTTACACACAAATGAAAGGCAGAAGGAGCATACACCTATCCCAACTGAATGGCCCAAATTCCCAGTTATGATTTGAGAAATATGCCAAAAGCCAACTCCAAGTAAAGCATGAACATTAAAAATCACAACTCTACAAGCACCATTTGCGCAAGTGATATTGAAAGCATTTTGGTTCCACGTCATCGATCATTTTCAAAAACTCCATGTAGTGATTCGTTCATAAGTAGAAGCCAAAGCTTTGAGGCGGGCATATCGTTACCAGATAGATCCAATGCGATGTATAAGAAACCAGTGGCTGAGAATTTGTAACCTCAGCAGCAAACCAGAAGAGCTTTATTGGTTTGTATGTTTAAAGTTTCAGGTTTCATTTCTTGTCCAAAAGGTAATTTCCTTTGCCCCTTCAACAGAACGGAAGAACTTACCAGTATCATATCTGTTAGCTATAGCATTCAAGGTACTTGTTACCACAGCTCTTTATTACTAACTACCTTTGTTAGCAGTAGAAAGAGAGGTTTATCCAGATAACTTCTGATGTCCTTCTGGAGTTATTTGCATGCTATGACCTCTGAATCACATTTCTCTGCAAGGGTGATGTTAACTGTTGCCAGCCCAAATGTTGATGCACAATCCATTTTTTATAGGAAATCGCTAAACTCAAAATCTGTAGGACATCACCCAAAGCATGATCTTTCAAGCACATATTCTTAATCACAATACCTGCTTCGTACCTGGGAAAAGACAAAATATATAAATATAATGAGAAGCAGAAAATTTTGAGTAGCTGAAAATAAACTAAATTATAGTATCCTTACTTCCACTGAGTATTCATTATTGCCAATCTTCCAGGAGAAGTAGCTAGAAATTTTTTTATTTTGTTCCATGTCTCTTTTGAGTGCTTCTTAGGATTACCACCCAGAGTGCATACAAACTTCCAAACTTGATCATTCTTACCAACAAACAATTCCAAAGCACCTACATTCTGCTTCACTACCATCTGCTGCTCAACAGCAATCTCCAGAGCCTTCTTGACATCTGTATTGCGATGCTTGGGATCTCCAAATCGAATACAATCTGTTATATTTGACTCAGTTGGCTTAATTTTTTCAGTTTTCAGTGTGTTCAAGGCAAGTAAAACAACCCCTATAAGATCTTGGACGTGTCAGAAGATTAGGAGATTCTGGAGATCCCCACATACCATACCTGGAAGATTATTATTACCCACGGTCGCTGATGATGAAGTTCGGTGTTCTGGCCCATGTGCATAGCCAGTATACAAATTTCGTGCGTTCTGTATCATGTGCCCATCTGCTTCATCAATAGATTTAACAGGATTTCGAGAATTACTGCAAGAACTCCGTTCCAAGTCCCCGTTCAATTGATTAACAGGGTGCGGATCGTGACCATTACTAAGATATCCAGAAATATTACCAGTATCTGGTACCTTCGTAAGTGGTGCTGCAGAGAAGCTGGGCCCACCAGTCCAAAGCCGGCACTACTGAAGTTCCAAAACTTATGGAATTTAGAGAAAATGAATTGCTTGGTGAAAAAGGAGGCTCCAAAGGAAAAATATTTGATCTTATTGGTTGTGAATGTGGATTTTGATGATTGTCTTGTAGATTACCATTATTTGGTGTAGAACCACTTGGGGGAACATTATGGGTATAATTGCCAGGTGGAGGAGAATTTATATTGCCATCATTTTCTTGAAGTCCAACTGGGAGCTGGATTCTTGACCTTGGGTCCATTTGATTTATTTGACTTTCTCCCATTTGTCTTCCCATGATGTCTAGAATCAAGTTGCCTTGCTGTACCAGGAAATTTCTGATTTCCTGTATGAACTTCTGAATAGGATTCCAGATACTGCGGTATAGAAGGCATTATGGAACTGGACTTTGTACGGAGTCAGAAGAGGATTGGATGTCATTATTACCAAGTTGTAGTGATTCACCCTTCGTAAGGGAGGTCCCCCAGCCAAGAGACTAGTCCAAAGCACACCACTCTTGGCAGCTGCTACTAGGGGGCAGAAGCTTTCTTAGGCTGTGCAAGAAGAATATATATACCCTCTCAACCGCAGTTGATGAAGAGCATTGGGAAAAGTCTCTATCACCAGATAGTTAATAAGTAATTAGCAGGTGCAGGATTGTCCACAGCCCAGAATAGCATGTCAACAAGAATCTTTTTGTCACTTGCATCTTTAACACCTGGCAGTAAAAACATGAAATCATTAATTACGCGAATTCATTATTTGAAGTTCCCCATTATCAGGAAAGCAGATAGATTTGTAACAAATTATCCCAGAGAGACTCCTAAACAAGGCTCTTCAACAGAGAAGACTAACAAATTAGTAAAACTCGTTGACAACCCTTTATATATATATAATCATGCTTTATATTTTTTGTTTAAACACTAATCAAATCAAATATGAATCTATTGCACCATTGATTTAACAAACAATACACACTTGTATACGGACTGTCATGAATTGGATTTTGGAAATCTAAATATTTAGTTTAAATTTTGAATCCAAATCTATTTTCCTACAAATTCTAATTTGGATGTTTATATATCCAATATAAACATTTCGATCAAGGTTTTAAATCTAAATCTAAATATCAAGTTTTAAATTCAAATCTATTGTTTTTATAAAAACAATCTAAAACAATTTTTTTTCTAAATCTAATTTTAAACTTAAATATATATTTTTAAAATAATAGATTCTACTTCATTTAATATATAAAATATTAGAAAATATATTATCATAATTTAATAATATCAAAGACTAAAGATAATATATTATGTAAATTCTAATATTAAAAGAAATACAACCATCTAAATATCAATATAATATCCAAACAAATAAAAAAAAATTCACGTAATATCTATTTTCAGTTACAGAATTCTTAAATTAAAAACAAATTATCATTTTCATATATAAATAGACAAAAAAAGATACAGCATCACATATACTTATACATTACAATGCAAAAGAGAAAAAGCTTGTTCATGATGTCTAACCAATCGCATTTACAGGATCCTAATTGCACTTCTCTAATATCACGTGCCTATTCATTCCAAAAAACAAGACTTTTTCTGAGCACGCTGGTCAATTAAGATTGGAAAAATTTGGTTTTTTAATTTTTAAAATCCATATAAACAAAATGGAGAATCTGATAAGGAAAATGGATTAAAAATGGATAAAAAAACAGATTTAAGGGAATGGATCTTTAAGAAAAAACACATACATTTAAGGGAATGGATCTTTAAGGATCAGAAGCAGACCAAAACTAAAGAAGTCTAATACAAACAGATTTTTTGCCCACACGGCAATCCCGTATTATAATCTTATAAATAGATTGTCACCCTCTGTATTATAAGGCTTTTTCACCATTCTGGGTATAATTTCACTTTGAAATTACTGGTTACATGCTCTAAAAAAAATTACTGGACAAGTCTTGTCAAGTTTACACGACTTCACAAACAAAGAAGTGCGTATTAAATTGAAGCAACTCAGATGAAACTGTGTAAAGTTTGACTTTTATGAAAAATTATAAGTGTGTTATGTTGATATGAATTTATTTCAAAGTAAAATAAACCGAGGTCGTATGTGATGATTTCAATTCATTTTATTTAAAACTGAAATCATCTCAAGTTGTATGCTTGACTTTAGGTTATTCATTCAAAAATAAAGTAGTCTCTCACGAAGAGACTTCATATGAAGTCGTGTTGTCCATCAGCAAACTTTTTTAGTAACTTTAAAATGAAATTACACCAATGGTGAAAAAATCGTATTATGATCATTATAAATAGACGGTCACCTCATAGGCTTCTCCAATTCCACATTTAATGTTTTGTTTGGTAGCAACAAAATAGGAATGAGAGGATGAAAATAAGAGTGAAAAGAATATTAGTTGTTTGACAGGATCCAAAAGAACCATATTCCCCTTTATTTCTCACTATTTCCATTCATTTTTTTAAAACTTCTATCTTCTTTATTTCTTTTGACTCTACCAACATGGTCCTAAAAGATAAGCATGAACATCAAGAAAATCAAACAAACTAATATGGCAGAGAATTCAAGTACTGTTAGTTCTAAGCGAAAGGACACAGTGAAACTCTTCTCCCATTTATTTATATTTTTCTTATAATACAAAAAATATAACTTTTAATTGATCTGATTTAAATAGAGTGGTTTGATCACGTAATGCAGTTAAAGATCCGTACGTTTATTCAAGGCTAGGTACTAGAAACCTAAGAGTAATGCATTCCTCCTTCCTGAACCGGAGTAGACAAGTCACAAAATCGAGAATAATGATGATGATGATGATAAACATAAAAACAAAATCTATGCTAACAAGTAAGTTAGTTCAGGTTATGTCAAGCGTGAAATTCGAGATCAATCATTTCGAAGGAATTGAATAGAACATTTGGATTTTCAGGGAAAAAAAACCAAGTCAAAGCGATATAGGCAAGCATGTCAAGTTTGAGGGTTGAATAGAGAGGAAAAATGGATTACCGGCGGGGACATGATTGAGGGAGATGCCGGTGCTGGAGAGGGCATGCTGAACGGAGGCAGTGATGCCAGTGGTATCGCCGTAAGCAGAGATGGAAACGGGGCCGCAATAATTCATCCGAACGAGAGCGGAGCTTATATTTGGGCGATGGCGTGGGGATCGCACCCTTTGGGCACTTGACAGTTCTCTATGTCCCACCAAACCGAAGTCTTGACCACCGAGTACTGTGCCTCCGCAACCGCCGTCGCTGCTCCACCTCCGCCCATCTTACTGGTTCTGAAACCTTCCTTTAGTATCTACAGTTTGATGAAGTGAAAACTTGTCGCTCCAGTTACGATTGTGGAAGGGAAACGTATCTGGTTGAGGGTTAATGGGAAGGGAAGGGACTGTACTGTGCCCGTGTGATTTACGTGTTTGCCCTTTTAAGGTTGGAATACTTAACGAAGAGGAGAGAAGAAAAGAGAATGGGTGGGAAAAATGGGAATGAATTTGTATTTTTACTTTTCATATAAATTTGAGGATGAGTGAATAAATGAATTTGAAAAGTATTGAAGTGAATTTCAAAAATAAAGTATTTGTTATTGTTTTAAAAGATTTTAATATAATATGTAGTATATATTGTTATTATATTTATTTTTGTATTTTTCAGTTATATCAGCAAATATTAAAATTTGTTATTTGGAATGTATATGTGTTTGATTCTGCTATGAAAAGTAGGTATGTGATAGAGTAATTTTAGGATTATTATGTGAAATATTAGTTGTGTTGTCTTTTTATATATCAATGGAATCAGAGAATTTAAGAATTGAAAAATTTAAATAAAATTTATTATTAATTTGATTTATTAGATAGATTAAAAAAATTAATAAATAAAAATTTAAAATTATCAAATTATTCTTAATAATAAAAATAAAAAAAATTATATTCATGAGTTACATTATTTAGAAAAATATTTGAAATACTACCTCCTCAAGAATTTTAAAAAGTTATAATAAATAAATAATATAATAAATTTTATAACACTGAAAATTACGTTTAAATATAAATAATATTTTATTACTTACATAATTTAGTCACGGGCTATTATTTTTATATTATATGATTTTGATTGGTTTTTTAGACTTATTATAGAATTTGGTTTTCGTGTATTTTAATTCGTGCCCTTATTGTATTTTTTTTGTTTATCAATTTAGTTTTTGATTTTTTAAAAACATCATTTTTGATTAATTTGACATAAGGTCGTGTTTGAAATTGTTGTAATTTTAAATTTTTTTTTTAAATTTTTTTAATTTAAAAAAACAAAAAAAAGAGGGTCAATTTTGATTATGTTACGTGTTATTATTTATGTTATATGAACATGCTTGTTTTCGATTTATCATCGTATTTATAAATTTGATTTAATTTAGTATTTTTTTAAATAAAGTAATTTAATTATTCTTTAATTTTAGACCCATTTAGTAATTAATTGGTTCAATCCTTCCGAACATCTCTATTTCTGTAGGATCGTCTCGAGTAGGTCTTTCTATTGTAAATGTTATCGATTAGGTCCCTTATTATGAAAAATTGAATCATTTAGTCTTACCGTTAGTTCTATACTAACACCGTTAAAGGGGGTGGGGACACGTCGGTCATTCGTGTTTTTTGAATTTGTGAATTATATGTTTATTATTTTTTTTTTATTTTTAATTGTAATTTTTTAAATAATTTTAAAAAAGTCACGTTGTCAAAATGATAGTGTGTCAACGTGGCAATGGCGTGTGAACATGGCAACTGACGGCCACATTGTTCATTGTCAGGGGGACACGTCTCATTGCATTAGTCTTCAATTTGGTCCCTGTATTTTTATTTGTCTCAATTTAGTCTTAATTTAAAAATTAAACACATTTTTCCTTCCTCAAATTCAAACAAGTTTAAATTGTATACAAATTTTAACAAATTTTGTTTAAATATGTACAAAAGATATATATTTAAATATATACAATTTAAAAAAAAGAGTTTAACTTAAATATATACAATTTAAAAAAAGAGTTTAAAAATACAGGTGTTATGTTATGTTATGTTATAAGGGTTTAAAAAAAAGAGTGACATAACATGCTGATGCTATGTTATGTTATTTAAAATTAAGACTAAATTGAGACAAAATAAAAATACAGGGATCAAATTGCATCATAATAAAAATACAGGGACCAAATTGAGACTATGCAATGAAGGACGTGGGACCTGACAATGGGGAATGGGCAACTGTCATGTGCCAGTCACATTGTCTTGCCACGTGAGCAACTTATCAGGTTTGGACATGTGGCATTTTAAATTTTTACTTTTAAAAAAAATAAAAAAATAAAAAATAAAATAAAAATAAAATAATTTAAATAAAAATATAATTCAAAAATTCAAAAAAAAACACAACGACCAACACAGTCACCCCTTTAACGGTGTTAGTATGGAACTTTACCGGTAAGGCCTAAATGTGATTCAATTTTCATTAATAAGGGACTAATCGGAAACATTTACAATACGAGGGAAAAGATTGGGAGGAAAGTACTAACAGAAATAGGGTGGATGTTACGAAAAGATTAAAAAAAAAAGACTAATTAAATTTTAATTACAATTTATGCATAAAAATAATTTTAAACTTATACATACAAATTAGGTTTGTTTAGAGATTTAATGTGAACAAGGGTATCTATTTACATTTAATTTTTCATTATTTCTAAAAGATCATAAGTTTAATAGGGATTTTTTGAGTGTAAAAAAGTAAAAGAAAAATAATAAATTTGAAAATTAGGTGGAATGAAAATTGATGTGTAAAAATTGATATAAAAATCAACAACTTATATAAGTGTGATTTAAAATAATTATTAGTTATTTTAAATTGGGAGAAGGGGACCCAAAAAAGTTCCATTTAAAAAAATAAATTAAATCAAAATTATAAATATGGGGGACTAAATTGAAAAATAAAGTACGGTCATGTGAACAATAAAGTGACACATAAGCAATTGTCAGTGGACACTGTCACTGTTCACATGATTTATGATCTCATGGGACTCTTGCAACACATGGTAGTCTTGGGTTGTTAATAAAAATAAAAAAAAAGTCTCCAATTAAATGGTGCATGGATGGGGACAAGGAACAAGAACGGTAAATGTCAATCTAAAGAAAAATATAAAATGCATGGTTTTAAAAACATAAAGGGACAAAATAAATTGAATAAAAAAAAAAATAGGAAAAACGGAAATATGAGAAACCAATCAAAGAAAATACAATAGAAACAAAATAATAGAAAGGAAGCGTTTTTTTATACTACTATTATAGTATAAAAAAGATTGTGAATGATTATTGATTGGTTCATGTATATTTAAATTTTCATTATCACACAGTAATAAAGTCAAACTTAAAAATATGACATACGAATAGCATAGATGAGAAGTTACATAGATTTATTGATAAATCAAAAAGTGGAAACTTCCTTTCATGTCATGCAAGAACTATTCCAACGAATTTGGTGTTGGTTGTCCTTATTATACATTCTTGTTAACGGGTAGGTGTGAAGGAGAGGGAAAGTTCGTATTCATTGATCTACAATAAAAGTATTTTATTGGAATGTTCATATCGTTTAGTAACCTAAAAAATGTGCTCTCTGGTATATTGAGTATGAAAGGGGTTCCACCAATTAGTTATTTCTTTTAGGTTAAGGAGGGACATTTTCCACATTTAAATAATTGTAACGTTATCGATCAACAATGTTTCAATTTGCTTGAAACTATTGGCTTCCTTTAGTGCGTTCTTTTTCTAAAATCATTTGATGTGAAGAACGCAGTAAATTAAAATGGACAAATAAAAAACATTAATTTTAATATTTAATTTAAAAAAATATAATTAAAGTTGTTTGAAATGTAAATGAAGCAAAAGAGCCACGAGGATATAAAAATTATTGCGGAGTAAGGAGTCCTAGTAATTTCCTATAATTATGGACATTAATTAAGTTTGACACTGGCAATTCACTTTTGCCATTTGTGGATTTATATCTAGAGTCAAAGTGGCGTAAATGTTTTCTTCAATTCGTTGAACACATCATTGCATTCAGTTTTGCAAGTCTTGCATCCCTTCCCACATTTGAGTTAGCAATTCAGAATTTGAGTAGAGGGGAGGTTGTTGAAAGTGACCACTAAACTAGTGCGTTCCTACAACAAGCTCATCATGCAAAAGAATTTGTTCTTTTGCTTCATCATCATTAATTGAACGATCGTGTTGTCATACACTATTGACACTAACAATATAGAACTTCTTCAAAAAAATTGTAGAAAAATGTTGTCTCAACCCAATAGGTGTGCTGGCGTTGGCAAAAAAATATACACTTTAGTGTATTACATAATTTGGGTGATAATATACCATATGGAAGAGGTGTTTCACTGCCTTGCATTAAAGAATATGTTGCATGATATGTGATTAAGCCGATTAATGGATATGTATATTTTTTAGCAACCCATATCGTAAAAGTATCTTCTTGCAATATGAAACGTGGATTCAAATATATTATACCAACCACATAATGAGGGAAGTTTATCACTATGTAAGGAAAACCAACGGATACCTAATGGGGAAGTAATCTTTTGGAAACTAGACTTGGAACAGATTACCTATGGAACTAGCCATCTTGGGATGGAAAGTTGGACCCATTAGTTGTTTTTAAAAAACCCTAGACCTTGGAAGGGTGGGTTTTTCTTATTAAGTGTTCAAATGATTGTTTTTTGGTGAGGGAACTAGGCTCTTCACCTAAGGGATTAGGGGTTTGGAGTTGTTCTGGGTGGTTGACTTTAGTGTTTTAGATGGAAGAGATAGGTTTGCTTGTGGCGCAACGAGTGAAGCCCGTGAAAATTCTACCTCCAAATATGAAGTGTTTCATACCATTTCTAAAACCCTTTTTCTTTCTAAGTGTCTTCAACTTTCCAAAAGTCCAAACCTTTATTCTTTATTTAAATTTGTTTTCCTGACCACTAATCTTTGATTCGAAATACTATTATTTAGATGAATTATGTAATTGTATTGCTTATTTAGTATTACGTATAGTTTCTTGGAAAAACCGATAATTGGTCTTACATTTTATAATTTACTTAAACGATTTCGGTATGGTTGTCGAGGAAATTAAAACCAAAAACCAATTTTTGGCCTATATTAATTTAAAGTTTTGGATGTAAATTAGAGCTGTCAAAATGGGGTAACCCGGGCTCGGGACCGGGCCCGACCCACCACGGGTTGGTTCACTTATGAGCCAACCCAACCCGACTTACTTATTAGCGAGCTGAAAAAATTTGAATCCGGCTCGACCCACCACGGGTTGGCGGGTTAAACGGGTTGGTTCACTAACTTAATTATAAAATTTTTTTCAAATAAAAAAAAATATATATTTTAATTCAAATCTAAATAAATTTCACTCTAAAATGCTGTTAAACTCCAAAGACAATTCAAAATAAAAAAATAAAATACAATCCAAGCGTAATTCAAAAATAAGCACAAAAGACGAACAAATAAGTTTTTACTATTGATAATTTTGGTATCACTTGTCCATTTATAATATTAAAGACTTGAATAGATAAATCTATAATATTTTCCTCTCTTGAAACATCTTTTTTTTATCCCATATACAATATAATAAAAAAATGTTAACTAATAATATTGAAACACAAAATAATAAATAATTAAGTTAAATTTGGTGGGTTGGTGAGCAAACCCGGCTCACCATGCTGGGTACTAAGTGAGCCAGGTTGAAAACTAACCCGCATAAAAAATTTACATTTTTTTCAAACCCAACCCGTGGTGAGCCGGGTAGTCTCGCGAGTTGCAATTCATTTTGACGACGCTAGATGTAATGATGTATGTTACCAAATATAGACTATTCTTGTTAAATTGCAGTTCCACTTTTAAAATTGCATAACCTATTGTGTTTGTGAATGTCCTAAAACCCTTCATGTTGATGTTAAAATATCAATCATAAACCCTTTTAAAATCCTTACTATGCAGTTAAAAGAGGTTACATTTGTTTTCTCTTTTCACTTGTAATTGGAACCTCAACAATAATCGGAAGTGATCACTATTTTCTTATATTTAGGAATTGATGTGAAAAATAAAAAATATCGCAGTTACAAGTGGTTGAAGCATCTTCTCCACCTCCTATTTTAATAAAAATATCTTTTGTTGAAATATGCGATAAAAATATCTTTTGTTGAAATATTGCGAGGCCCAAACTGGTCAGGCCACTTGCTCATCCCCAAACATTGGGCTATAAGTTATGCAGGTTAGTGGACTCAAAATCCTAGCCCACCCCGCATTTTTTGAGTGTGACTCCCTCCATCACCACACAATGCTTCCTGCACCTCTCCATTCCTCTTTTGCCTTCCATATTTAATGTGGTAGTTAAAAATTTTAACTTTCTACAACTTCCAAACACTTCATTAATATCCCATCAATATATGAAGCACCCCCCACACTTTCATCACTTTCACAGAATCAAATTCATCTTTTTTCCTTTTCCCTGTAAAAGTTCTTCTTTAAAAATAAAAGAATTCAAAACAAAATCAATTAACTTTAATTAAATTAATAATAAATAATTCATTAAATAAAACAAAATTAATTTAATTATAAATACATAATTTACTTAAAATATAATTACTTAAGTTTAAAAGTATCTAAAAATTAATTTACAAATCAATAAATTAATAAACTAAAAAGTAAAAAAAAAAAGAATTCGTTCAGTTTTTCATGCTTTCTTTTATTTTATTTTTACAAACACTTCATTTATAAATAAATAATACTACAAAAAAAATTAAATTAAAAAAATGTACAAAAATTAACAACCTAAATAAAATAAAATTAATTATTAATTTACAAACCCTAAACCCTAAACAAAAAAACAAGAAAAGGAAACCCTAAAGCCTCAACGAATATGGGAGATCCGTTGGACCTTCCCCAAGGCTTCAACGGATATAGGAAATTCGTTGAGCCTTCAATGTATCGAGATCCATCCATAGATATCGAGATTCGTTGAAGACTCAACGGATGTCCCATATCCATTGCAGCATGTGGCATTTCTCTTCTTCTTCGTTTAACACAAAACATAGGTGCATATAGAATCACTAACTTCGATCAGAGACAACAACAAAGGAAGCATCAAACTCCACAACACCATGAACCCACCATGAATCAAGCAACAACATGAACCCAGCATAAACCAAGCACCAACACGAACCAAGCAAAGGAAAAGAGAACCTTGACGAAAATGGTAAATTGGAGAAGAGGAAGATGAAAAATTAGGGAAAGAGAAAGAGGAGAATAAGGGAGGGAGAGAGAGAGTAAGAGTGTGGGGGTGGTGATGTGGTGTGCGACTGAATGAATAAGAAAATAAATATTAGGGTTTTAAAAAAAAGTTAAAAATGTAAAGGGTAAAAATAAATAAAAATATTTTTAAAATTAAAAATATTTAAGAAGGTGTACGAAGCGATGTCTGGTGGTGGAGGAATAACACTCCACATTTTTCAATACCGGCCTACGGGCCGATCCACCTAGCATGTCTCGCATTGTCATTTCCGACGAGAACCACATGACCAACACTATGGTCCACACTACTAGCACTGAGGACGTCCACCAACAACACTGACTCCAACAACCATCGATACACCACTCGGAAAGCACCCACCAGTAAGATTCGAAAAGCAAGAGAAACACCACCAACACATCAAAGCACCAAAACATTTGCTCGAAACCATCACAAAGAACAATAGTACCACCATTGGAACCACCCACCTTCGTAATTGCACCACACCAACATAATTTCAGAAACTCACAACAAATCCTCAAATGGAAAACACAAAACCATAAATACACCTTCAAATACTAACTCATGCATTTATAGTGAATTGAAGCCTTTACCTACCTTCGTCAATGGACGTAAAATCCTTTATCAATGCTTTAGAGAGTCAAATATGTAAATGCATAATGTGTGTATAATATTTCCTCATATTCTCTACATCCAATCGGAATGTCTCAGGCCTTCTCTCCCCCACAAACTCATCTTCTCTAAATCATTCAAATTTGTTTGAAACAAACTCTTACTGCACTCGCTTTCAGCTATGAAATACCAAAACAATACAACAAAATATAAATAAGTGAAAGAAAAATTCTTACACATCGTCAAGGAGTTGGATCTTGGATGCTTTAAATGTGTATAAATCAATGGGTCCAAAATACGTAAAGGTGTTACTCTCAAACTGCCTAATATAATATATCTGAAAGACGCCATAAATACTTTATTGCATATTTTTTTGAAAATAAAATTTTCTATTATAGGATAGTGATTGGTGATAGAATGAAATGGCATAGATTATTTATTTTAAAAATCACTCTTGATAGTTTATAGTTATTGGAGGACAAAATCATTTTCTAACATTGAGGATTAAATTAACTTTAACGTAAAGATAAACTTACAAAGATTAAAATCACAATCAACAAGTTGTTTTAAAACCTTTACAGCCAGGTTTGCTAAGCAACTTCGTACAAAAGAAAAATTGGACTCAATTTATTTAAGGGGAATGCAAAAAAAGTAACAATATCCAACTTATCTATTTGTTAACTACCATCAAATTAAGTTCATTGATTAAACCGCTTCTCATAAAATACTTGTGAGCATACAGATTAATAAATTATACTCAGGCAGCTCTATAACAACTTGGTTTCACTCCCCGATGTTAAGCTTATGGAGTCAACATTCACTCAAGTGCTACATCAAAATATTGAAAAGACAAGAATATTTTATTGGAGTAGACAAACTGAACGGGCTTTTGATGCCACAATCAGGACTCAACTTAAAAACAAAAAATAAAAATTACAATAATAAGACTTCGTTAAAACGATATATACTTTACAGAAAGCATAAGTTCCGATAAATATGATATACTGTGTTATTAACACAAAGTTCCTACATTTAAAGAAAAATGGAATGGCAGCAGGAGCAGAGATCTTCCAACGGAAGGCCAAAGTTCCCAATATGATTGAGAATCATGCCAAAAGCCAACTCCAAGCAAGTACGAACATTAAACTCACAACTCTACAAGCACTATCTACTCAAGAGGATTGTATAGAAAGCATTCTGGTTCACGATCGTTGATCAATTTCCAAAAGCCCTGTAGTGCAATTGTATGATAGTGAAAATCTCAGAAACATGCCCGTGCATGGGTCAAAAAAAAAAAATGAAATGGGGGTAAAAATTTTTTTTTTTTTTTGACGACGGTCAATATGTAAGTCATGAGCTTCAAGGATAACCAGTCACATGGTAATACACACCGTTCTGAAGTGCTCACACATTCCGAACAATGAAATGATTGATATGACCCTTCCAAGGTGATAAACAACACCATGGATTCCGGTACTTGCTGAAGATTGACAAACTTCACTAATTCATAGTTCGGTCCATTATCATAGACGCAACTTAGAGGCATAAGTCAAAGGATTCAGGGTTCCGTTCAATAAGTCAATATCCAAACAAAGTAGGTGTAAAAAAACATAAGTAGAAGCCAAAGTTTGAGGAGAGTTTTCCACTGTGATGATAAGAAACCAGTGGCTGAGAATTTGTAACCTCAGCAACCAGAAGAGACTTAGGAGTTTGTAAGTTTCAGTTTTAGTGTGGTCCAAAAGCTAATTTCTTTTGCCCCTTGACGAATCGAAGAACCTTACCATAATCAATTATATCTTAAGCTATAATTCACGCTACTTAGATACTACATCTCTTATTATAACTACGTGATTGCTTCACAAAGAGAGGTTGATTCAGATAATTTGATTCAGATATGTTTATTTGCCGGCATGCCTTTCGAATTATTGGCATCCTACGACCTCTGAATCAGAATTGACTCTCAGTAGGGGACTTTAAGGTGGTTGCCAACTCAATTGTTGATGCAGATCCATTTTTTAACGGTAATCGCTATGTTCAAAATTTGTAGGACATCACCCAAAGCATGATTTTTCAAGCACATATTCTTAATCACAATACCTGCTTCGTACCTAGGGAAAAGACAAATATATACTTATAATGAGAAGCAGAAAATTTCAGCAGCTAAAAATAAACTAAGTTACAGAATCCTTACTTGCACTGCGTACTCATTATGAATATTCCCGAAGAAGTAGATAGAAATTTTTTAATTTCATTCCATGTCTCTTTTGAGTGCTTATTAGGATTACCACCTATAGGATTTACACACTTCCAAACTTTATCATTCTACCAACAAACAACCGCCAAAGCACCTACTTTTTGCTTTCACACCATCTGCTGCCTCAACTGCACTCTCCAGGCCTTCTTGACATCTGTACTGCGATGCTTGGGATCTCCACATCGAATACAATCCGTTATATTTGACTCAGTTGGCATAATTTTTTCAGTTTTTAGTGTGTTCAAGGCAAGTAAAACAACCCCTATAAGACCTTGGATGTAGTCAGAGGAGGAAAAATCCTGGAGATCCCCACATAACATTACCAGGAAGGATCATTATACCACAGTGCTGATGTAGGTTGGTGTTTTGGACCATGTGAATGGCCACTATACAAATGTTGTGCATTCTGTATCATGTGCCCATGTGGTTCATCAATCGACTTAATAATAGGATTTGAAGAAATACTGCAAGACTCCGTGTCAGGTCCCCGTTCAAAGTCTAACGGGGGTTGTGGATCCTGAGAGTTATTAGGATAAATATTCCCACACATTCTGCACCTTCGTAAGTGGTGCTGCAGAAAGGCTGCGGCCCACAGGTTCTAGTTGGCACTACTGAAGTTGCCAAAAGTTTGGGAATTGGGGAAACTGAACTCTTGGTGCAAAAGGAGGCTGCAAAGGAAAAGAATTTGATCTTAATGCCTGGGAATGTGGATTGTGATGATTCTGGTGGTAGTACATTTCTTGCCCGCATTTGAATAGGATTGCACAAGTAAAAATTAGGAGTAGAACCACTTGGGGAACAGTATGGGTAAAATTTGGTGTAGATGCACCGGGGGAACATATGGGCAAAAATTTGTAGTAGAAACCACTTGGGGAACACTATGGTATATGCCCAGGTCGGAAGAACTTTATAGCCATAATTCTTGAAGGCCAACTGGAGCTGGATTCCTTGACCTTGGGTCCATTGGTTTATTGATTTTCCCATCGTCTTCCAATGATGTCTGAATCAAGTTTTCCTGTACCAGGAAATTTCTGATTTCCTGTATGAACTTCTGAATAGGATTCCAGATACTGCGGTATCTGAAAGGCATTATGGACTGTACTTTGTATGGAGTCAGAAGAGGATCGGATGTCATTATTAGCAAGTTGTAGTGATTCACCCTTCGTAAGGGGAGGTCCTCCAGCCAAGAGACTAGTCCAAAGCCACACACTCTTAGCAGCTGCTACTAGGGGATCAGAAGCTTTTCTAGGCTGTGCAGACGATTTATACCTCCTCAACGCAGGATGAAAGAGCATTGGAAAAGTCTCATCCCAGATATAATAAGTAATTAGCAGGTGCAGGATTGTCCACAGCCCAGAATAACATGTCAACAAGAATCTTTTTGTCACTTGCATCTTTAACACCTGGCAGTAAAAATATGAAATCATTAATTACACGAATTCATTATTTGAAGTTCCCAGTACAGGTGACAGCAGATAGATTGGCTAAACAAATTCTCCCGAGAGGCTCTAACAATGTTCTAAACGAGAAGACTAACATTAGTAAACTCTTGGACAACCTTCTCATGATCATTATAAATTGATTGTCACGTCAGAGGTTCTAACCTTAATATTCAACGGACTTCAACAGAGAAGACTAACAAATCAGTAAACCATTGATAGGAGTGGGCATGGATTGGATATTTAAAGATGCAATCCACATCAATATAGATCCAAATATGTAAATCTGATTTCAAATCCAAATCTACTTATTGTGCAAAACTAGTTTGGAATTTTTTAAAGTCCAAATCCAAATATTTAGATCAAGTTGTAAATCCAGATCCAAATATTTGAATCAATTAATCAGGAAATCCAAATTCATTTCTAATTTCTAATGAAACTTAACTTTTTTATAAATCTATATTTTAAAAATAAAATAACTATTTCATCTAATACACAAATATATAAAAAAGTTAAATAATATATAAAATAATAAAAAATTTAATAATATTATAATTTAATAATATTAAAAATTAAATATAATATATTATATAAATTTCAAAAGTCAAGTCAT